TAGAATTATCTGCTTAGCATTTAAGGTCATTGAGAGTCTACTTAATTAGGATCCTTGACTGTTTTTCTTTTTTATAACTGACTGTGAATATTTTATACCTTTGGTACAGAGTGAACATGTTCAAAACTTGGCTACCACTAACTCAAATGATGCTGAAAGTTGGCAAAAATTTTACCATATGGCAAGTGGAATTACTCTTGGAATGTTTCCTCTATTGTTTTTCTTTATGTTTCTCTACTACACGGACAATGGTTCTACATTTTTTGTCCTGCTCATGTACTACCTAAGTCTTGGAGACTATCATGTTCTGGCAGCCATTATTGGAATGTACGCATTCTTCTTTAGACAAACTAACATTGTGTGGGTTATATTCACAGCTGGAGTGACTGCTGTTCGAATGTATGAGCCTTATGTTTTGAGAAAACTTGGCCCTCGGGCTAATGATTCTTTGAACATTGTATTGGAGTTTGTTAAGCAGCTTTTTGTAAATATGAAAGCAACAGTCCATGTTCTGTGGCCATATGCTTTAGTTATGCTGTTTTTCATTACATTTCTCATAGTTAATGGTGGAATTGCAGTCGGTGACAAAAATCATCATAAAGTTTGCTTCAACTTTCCACAGATATTTTATTTTGCATGTTTTGCATCATTTTTTGGATTTCCTCATCTTTCATCGCCTGCTGTCATCTACAATACGTTTCTCTACTTCATTGGTTTGAACCAACGGCGTTATTACTCAACAATTACTGTTTTGGTTTGTGTGGTCTATTACTTGGTAAAAAATTTCACTTACGTTCATCCGTACATGCTGGCAGATAACCGCCATTATTCATTCTACATTTGGAAGAACATTTATTTGACCTATCCAGAAGCAAAGGTTGGTCTTATTCCTGTTTATATTGTTGCGACAACCATGATATTTGTGGCAATTAATCAATCAAGGCTTTGGAAGATTGTGTATGCAGTGTGTGTTGCCATGGTGCTTATTCCACAAGGACTGCTTGAGTTCAGATATTTTATCATACCGTATCTTATGTTCCGACTGCATGTGAGGACACCACCTTTGTGGATACTCGGTGGAGAATTTTTGATTTATGCCTGTATTAACTATTTTACATTATGGATGTTTTTGAATAAACCTTTCAAATGGCCAAATTCTGATGATGTGCAGCGATTCATGTGGTGATTTTGCTAACTTTGTCCATACTCCGTGCATAGCACTTGTGGTAGATGGAAGATGCATTATCAGTATTGTTTACAGTTGGATGAATTACAATTATGTGCTAGTTGGTAGTTGATTTGTATATGATTGAATTTTGCAGTGGAAAACATCTGGGAGAATTGGGGGTCAAAGCCCCAACCCCACCAATAATTTTGACAGACTAAAAATCTATCACCAAATTATATTGCAAATGTCATTTTTATTGTAATGTAACTGTTGCATTAAATAATGACTGTTTGATAGACTTCTGTTCTAAACATGTCTCAGCATGCACATTAAACCTTCTTGACTTTTTGTTCTGGATAGAATGTTCTGGGAAATCTCATACCTCGGAAATGACCCCCCTCCTCTAATATTTCATTACATCTCTGCCACTGGAGTTTCAGTTAGCTATCTCAATGTTTTCATTGGTCACTGTGGTCAGAAAATACAAATGACTGGCTGTAATCACATGATGAGATATGCTGTTTTTCCCCATGCTGTGTCAAATGTAGTTCACAGAAAGAAATTTGAATTGTAAATAGCTTATTAGCTTTAACTATGTAGTAATTACAAAGATTATTCAAAAGACTAAAATATAACCAATTGAATTGTCATCAAGGTATTTTGAAATTTTGATTAGTTGCAAGAAATTTTATGTATTCTTGGTATTGAGATATCCCCTTTCACCAATAATGTTCAACTTGAATAATTAGTTGGCGTAATATGGAATTGTTGCATAAATTCTCAGGATCAATACGATTCTGACATTCAACATTCGACTTATTTCAACATAAGTGGAGGTATTGGTGTGACAAACAGGTAATCTTGTGGTTATTTCATTTTGCTAAAATAATTTAAGGGATTTGCGTTTTCCCATGCGGTAAAAACCGCAGAAAATTTAAAATTCGTTAACATAAATCCGCGGCTCAATGTATTAGGTAAAGCTGTGGATTTGTGATTTGTCTCCATTGAACGACGTTTTTTCAAAAGACCCGGGGAAATTCACTTGGAGAGTCTGTGTGACAGACGAGTATTTGAAGTAAGTAGGTGTCAAAAGAATTTACAAGCTGTACAACAAATGGCTGTCCATTATCCAACTGCGCCGCCAACCTACAGCGAAGTGGTCGAAGATCCATCGTCTAGTATCCATATACAGAATGCCGTTCCAGCCACACAAGTCGAAA